GTCGACTAGTTTGTAGAGTTGATGCACTTCATTGTATGTCAACCTAAATTAGTCGTTTAATACATTGAAGTACTGGAAATATAATAATTAATTAAAATTTGCTGTATTTGTTAATTTGGCATGCTAAAAAATGTTCCTCACGCTAAGCTGCCTTGATTAAAAATACTCTATCAGTCATTTTAGGCTTAATTTAAACAAAAGTCCCAAAACGAAAATGAAAAGTTAACACTTTTCATTTCGTCGATTTGAGGTTAAAATTTCGAACAATTATATGTCAAATTCAACTTTTCGTCTGAAAGCTTAGTGAATTAGAGTAGGCTTGCAGAATTTAATTGTCAAACTATTTTCGGACGAACGAATTTACGAAATGAAAAGGAAACAGAGTAGGAAACGTGCGAAATTTCGATCGAAATTTAGTTCTTCGTTGAAATAGAGTAGGCCTCCTGTACTTGAAATAACTGCCTACGGCCGAGCGGGGCGTATCCACGCGGTAGGGCTGCCCGCCTACAGTATTTTAATTTCATCTACGTAATTGAGTTTCTTTCTAGTTTTGGGATTGTAAATATTTTATTTCATATGTAAAAAAATAATATTGTGAATGAATTAGGAAGTGTTACATCAAATACATGTTATTTTAAGTGTAATATTTAAAAAAAAACGATATGAGACAGAAAAATATTTACGCCTCGACTGAGACGTACGAAAAGCTTTATTATTAAATTTAATAGTATAATAAATACGCATTCGTATAAAAAGTTTAATTATTGAAGAGTTCAAGCAACCAAAAACAGCACAATATCGACTATTGTTCTTTGCCATATTAAATTATGTAGGTATCTATTTAATTCAATCAAATATTCACAATACAAACGTTTAAGCACGGCTAACTGCTTAAAAAATAAGTCACACCGTTCGTTCGTCGCTGCGGCGCATTCGCGACTGGATGCCCACCGGGTGCCGCGAACTCAAGTGGCGTAGGTATGACACGCTTTTCGACCGTTAGTATGAAGATAGAATACTGTATAGATAATATTACCGTGCCTGGGACCTTGATTGGTGATGAGTAAACAAATTAATGTCGATGCTATGAGCTTTATACAGTTATTTGTCAATGAATAAATAAGTCTGAACAAAGTGAATAGTACAAAAAAATAAAAATAAATATATCACCAAAAGTTGCTTACATGTTTTATCAAAACCGCTTCATATCTCTGATTATAAGAAGTCTTCTATGAAGTCTTATCTACAATAAAGCTCGAATTTTGTTAATTTTGTTAGTAATACTTTGTTATAAATACATAATAATATTGTTTTCTTATGGCACATTACAATAAATACAAAATTAGTATCATAAAACGCAGAAAGCTTTTTTGGGAATGATTAAATATTTCGAATATAAACTACGTGTGATCGCTAATGTTCTCTAAAAAGAATTATATAATTTTTATTAATAAAAAAAATTACCTATATAATTTTCAATAATAATAAAAATAATTATATAATTTTCATTAATATTAAAAATAATTATATATTTATTTAATAACGCAAATGAAATAAGCAGCCTGTACAATCGATTTATTGGTCTTTCCTGTAAGTGGTAAATTTTAAAGTATTTTTCATAGTATCTTGGGACATTTTCCATTACATGTTAGATGATTTATTTGGAGATGTCTGAAAATGCTTTCTAAACTCAGTTTTTAATTAGTATTTTATCGAAAGGAGTATTTTTAAATTATTATTTATTATAATGGTATATTTACATTTCATGTGTATACAAAACTGTGCACAAATATATACATATGAGATACCTTTAGATATATACAGACACTAAGAAGTATCAATGTACAATAACTTACCTTTATCGTAATAAATACACATCTTCAATCACTTTTCTGTACACTTTACAAATGATATTAATTATTTTTTTACAAGTTTAAATATTTTTTCTTGGAAAATTATTTATTAAATAAATATCCACGAAATTATACCGTTTAGTTTTACAAAATTTGTGAGTTTTCAAGGTGTTATTTTTTGTACACTTCACAAATAATTTTAATTTAATTTTTTACAAGTATATATATTTATTTTTTGGATTAAATATCCACGAAATTGTACCATTTAGTTTTAAAAAAAATTTGAAAGTTTTCAAGGCCTTTATTTTTATGACTTATGCGTTTATTGATTTTATATAATGCATTAAAATTTTCGAACCTTTTATTATTAGAGTGTATTTAAATCTTATATGTATATATAATTACTGAAGATGGGAAAATCTATATACAAATATACAGGAGATTTTAAATATGAATAATCAAAAGTATATTTATCGTTTAAAAATATAGTTTTTGTACGTTTTTTTTAATATATTGAAATAGGCCATCCCAGTTAGAGTATTCAACTATGGCTAGTTAAATTCTGGTTATTAAATATTAATAATTAAAATAAATATTTAAATGCTGCTTTTAATATTATATTTATAAAATAAGAATGATAAAAAAATAAAAATATGTCAAGCGTAAATGATGCAGCATGCATGGCTTGCGTCAAATTATACTGGCATGCGTCAACTATTGTAAGCCAGATGTCATTCAAATATTTGGCAACAAATAATAAAGGAAATGCATTTTTACTGTTATTTCAAAAATTATCAAAATAAAAACAATATTTACATAATAAAAATATTATCTCCGACTGGTCCAGTGCAAAGTTATTATTATATTATCATAATAATGTTAGTAAAAATGGTTAAATCAAGATTTTAAATCAAATGTGCAAAGCGCTTTTTACCCGACTGCGCACGCGCAGACAGGGTAGTGTTTAACAGTATATATACGTATGTATTATTATTTATCGTACCGTACGAGAAAAGCATACTAAACAGTATAGCTAGTACGATTAGTATTGTACATATATATTTTCTTAAATACAACAATTGGGCTTTAAGAAAAATATATTTCACGCTAACTCTTATAACATATACACTAGTATATGGAAAAAAAAAGTTTATCTCACGCAAGCAATCCCTAATACCTAATTTATACACAAGGGTCCATTTGCATCAATTTTGCTAAATCTCAATTTAACTAAAACTAGATTTAACCCATACAATAATGTCAAATAGGCTACTTGACACTTTGGAAATATGTTTTAAATGATTAACAATTGTTCTATTAGACCGAATAAAAAATGTATTGTATTTTTTTTTACCTAGAAAGCTACAAAACTTTAATTTTAAAATAGATTTTTCATGGATGTACAAAAACGCTGTCGGCCATTTTAGTCTATAGATTATCTATGCTATGACGTCAACAAAATCGTAAACAAACGTTCGGAAGCACATAGGAAATAACCTGATTCTGAAATTATATTATAAAACCATGATTTCTAATAGATGTCATGATATATATAATAATTATCACGATTGTATTATACGAGAATGTAGAAACACTTCGTTAAAGACTCGAGAAAAGTTGTGGTTTAAATTGTCTAGAGTAATACACATACCTACACAACATGAACACAGTCATGTTTAAAACTTGCTAAATCCAGTAATTTTACCGTCTGAAAGTCATTTCTTTTAGCAAAGATCACTTTAATGTGAGTACTCATTGAATAATATTTAAAGTTTAAAAATACAATTTTTAAGGTTTTGAATGTACCTACTAAGTCAGAGTTTTCTCGTTTCTGCTTTCACAAATCTGGCGTCCAGCATATTTTAGTGCGACGAAAGACACTACAGTAACACGACAATGACGTTTAGTTGTTTACTAACACATTTACTAATTTGTTGACGTCACAATCGTGGTGGACAGCGTTTTGAGTGTTTAAGAAGAAAATTAAATTACTACAGCCATCTTCTAATTTTATGAAGTGAAATCGATGTATTTAGGTTCCGCATAATAAACATTATAAGAAATAAACATTTGTATAGTGCAATTTGACATGAGTCAACTAGCCTATTACATTGACGTTATGTAATGTATCACATACAATAATGTCAATTTATCCCATACAATAATGTCAAATTGCTATGACGTTATGTAATTTATCCCATACAATAATGTCAAATTGCATTGACGTTATGTAATTTATCCCATACAATAATGTCAAATTGCATTGACGTTATGTAATTTATCCCATACAATAATATCAAAGTGCATTGACGCTATGTAATTTATCCCATACGATAATGTCAAATTGCATTGACTTTATGTAATTTTTCTATGGGTTCAATCGAGTTTTAGTTGAATCGAGATTTAACTTATCTGTTGCAAGAAGGCCTTAAGAGTTAGTAAAATCTGAAGCCAAAATTTCACTTGGTTCTTCGTATATGCTATATGTAACTTGACAATAGTCTCTCCTTATCATGTTTTTCATGGAATGAAAAGGACGGAAGTCAAGTTGACAAATAGCAAACACGAATAGCCAAGTAAACGCAAGCCATGGCAAGTATTAATCGTTAATAAAGTAGTAAAATAAATTATTCATCTACCCTCAAAATAAAACCTAATAAAAATATAATTTCGACCGACTTTCAAAAACTACACCTTTAAAATCATATGAGTAAAGTTGATAATGGACTATTTTAAGGATTTCCTTTTTTACTAGGAAAAATTCCACGCTGAACAGACCAGGCAGCAGACGGGACTCGAACCCGCACCCTTCGCTATCCGGGGCGAATGCACTGACCATTATGCTACCGTGGCCCTGATGGCCGTGTCGAATTTTCTCTAGCCTCTTTTAGGCTGCGAGGCAGCGCCATCTCTTCGCATTGTATGGTAACCCACAATTTTCTATAGTTACATTTTCTTTACATTTACAAAAAATGTAGCAGTTAAATGCTTAAAAAAAGGGCTATTTTATTGATAGTATCAGTTTTTTGAAGTCGATTTATTTTTAAGTAACGCAAAGGTTTTTAGTTCTCGAATTTTGTTAGTCAATTGATTAGTTTTGTTAGCATTTTAACAGTCATTTTATCCCAAAAAGAAGTATTTTCTTACCTTGTGGGGCACCACCGTAGCCGGGTGCTCCGTAGGCGGGGGGTGGAGCGCCATAAGCTCCATAAGATGGTGGTTCAGACTGTAGAAGAAAAATACAGCATTTTTAATGTTTTCCCTTAAAAAAGATAAATAAATAAACATTTCCAACACTCACACCAATAGGGATGATGACTAATTTTTTTTTCTTTATTTAGCAGGTAGATTATCAAAAAGTATTGGACACGTACATATTTTTTCTTTTTTCACATAATATAAACATTGCAGAGATGTAATAATTTAAAAAGTCGCATGACGTCACGTTTTGGTACACTTTTAAGTGAAAATTAAAAGTGACGTCACGAGGCCCTACTCCCAAACTTTGACGCGCTATAACTTTGTCATTTTTTGGTTGATTGCCCAAAGAAAAAATACGTGTCCATTATTTTTGGATCATCTAACTGACGGACTAAATAGAATTTCGTTTACTGTACCCCGTCATCACCCCTATTAGCCTAGCCCCAAAGTAAGCAGCTGTAAGGCTTGTGTTATGGGATACTAGGGTAACGGATAGAAAACATATACCGTACATAAATAAGTATATTTATATAGAAATACATATTAAACATCCATGACTGGAGTACTAATGCTCGTATTCATCACACAAAACATCTGCCCCCACCGGGAATCGAACCCGGGACCATTCGAGTCGGCGACACCTTGAAACCCGTCGTACAAACCACTCGGCCACGGAAGTCGTCACTTTAAAAAGAAGTTATTATACTGGTGTCAATCTGGCATAATTCTCTGAACCTAAACTTAAATTTGACAACAGTGTATCCTTGTCATTTTCTATACAGAAGGAAAAGGAACGACTGATGTTAAATTTAGTATTTAATTTAAGTTACTCATGTGAAATGTGAGGAGCCAGATGGTGCAATTGGTAAGCGCGTTCGGCTGCGATCGTTGAAGTTAAGCAACTTTCGCAGTGGTCGGTCATTGGATGGGTGACCAAAAATCTTCTATCTCGAGTTCCTCCGTGCTTCGGAAGGCACGCTAAGCCGTTGGTCCCGGCTGCATCTGTGCACACTGGGCCCGCGTGGTGGGTCATGGCACAATCTCCCTATTCCATCCATAAGGAAGGTCTGTGCCCCAGCATTCATCCAGGGACATTAATAGGCTGGTGATGTGAGTCATGTTAAAATCGACACCGGTTGCTATTCAAAAGCGTATTTTTTTCATTCTTAATTAGATTATTAGGGTTATATGTAACTTTCGCGACATAAACTAGCATTAATGTCTTTTCCAAAGTCCACTATATTGCCATATCAAAATTAATAAAAATCGGTTCAGCGTCAGCTGTGAGAAACATATCATCATCATAATCATCAGCCTATTAATGTCCCCACTGCTGGGGCACAGGCCTTCCCTATGGATGGAATAGGAAGATTGGGCCATGACCCACCACGCGGGCTCAGTGCGGATTGGTGGGTGCTAACGACTGCAGATGCAGCCGGGACCAACGGCTTAACGTGCCTTCCGAAGCACGTAGGCGCTCGAGATAGTAAATTTTTGGTCACCCATCCAATGACCGACCACTGCGAAAGTTTCTTAACTTCAACGATCGCAGCCGAACGCGCTAACCACCCGCGCCATCGAGCTCCTCACAGAAACATACACGGATGCTATATTATTAATAGACATTTGAGTCCATGAGAACCATAGTGGCCAAACTCATTTTTTAACCATAGTGGCCCATCTTACTTAGGCCAGTATGCCAGTACCTTAAATTTAGATCACAGATTAAAAACCATAACAGAAATTATGCTGCCATTTAGTGAATATACGTTGTATCACTTTTAGACCGCTCTGGTTCTATCAAAATGATCAATTCGAACTGAAAAAAATCATAAACTCAATATTGTAAACAATTAGTTAGGCTACTATGGTTCTCATGGCCTCATTTGTGTATAATCACAATCTCACCAAAACGTAAACACAACACACAACATGACATTAGGATAACTTTTAAAAATGTTACGAGTACCATTCAAAATGTACATTTTATTACATACAGTATGTATTAATTTAATCAAAATCGGTTCAGCTGTGCGCAGTATTACCTGTAGCATTTAATAGATAAATAGATGCCATATATTATTAATAGACATCTGTGTATAATCACAATCTCACCAAAACGTAAACACAACACACAACATGACATTAGGATAACTTTTAAAAATTTTACCATTCAAAATGTACATTTTATTACATGCAGTATGTATTAATTTAATCAAAATTGGTTCAGCGTCAGCTGTGCGCAGTATTACCTGTAGAATTTAACAGATAATAGATGCCATATATTATTAAAAGACATTTGTGTATAATCACAATCTCACCAAAATGTAAACCCAAACACAACATGACATTAGGATAACTTTTAAAAATGTTACGAGTACGAATATATTGATTTGAAAATTCGCATGACGTCACGTTTTACAATTAAACAAGTACAATTTTCACTCAAAAGTGACGTCACGAGCCCCCAAACTTTGACGCGCTATAACTTTGTCATTTTTGGTTGATTGCCCAAAGAAAAAATACGTGTCCATTATTTTTTGATCATCTAACTGACGGACTAAATAGAATTTCGTTTACTGTACCCCTATTAAAGTAGCATTCACAATGCTAGCTTGCACTACCAACCTACAGTTACGTTTACAAAGTCAGTTACACCCCCAAACATAAGGATTTTTTTTTCTTTCCTCTGTGGATTATTCCGCTTTCCACAGAAGTTTAAACACACCAAACAAACGACATTTAGTAGCATTCACAAAGCCAGCTTGCACTACCAACCTACAGTTACGTTTACAAAGTCAGTTACACCCCAAAACATTACGTTTTTTTTTTCTTTTCTCTGTGAATTATTCCGTTTTCCACAGAAGTTTAAACACACCAAACAAACGACATTAAGTAGCATTCACAAAGCTAGCTTGCACTCAAAACTTACCAACCGAATAAACGACATTAAAATAGCATTCACAAAGCCAGCTTGCACTACCAACCTACAGTTACGTTTACAAAGTCAGTTACACCCCAAAACATTACGATTTTTCTTTTCTTTTCTCTGTGGATTATTCCGTTTTCCACAGAAGTTTAAACACACCAAACAAACGACATTAAGTAACATTTACAAAGCTAGCTTGCACTCAAAACTTACCTACCGAATAAACGACATTAAAGTAACATTCACAAAGCCAGCTTGAACTCCCAACCTACAGTTACGTTTACAAAGCTGGCTTGCACTCGAACCCAAACTAAAAAATTCACGTTAACCAAAGCCAGTTAGTTCCCACTTCCAACCGTCTTGTTCACTTCTCACGTACCCTGTAAGGTGTAGTTTGGTATTGGTTTACCATATACATCTGCTGGGGGGGAGGCTGTGCCCCCTCGAAGCCTATGAACTGGATGTGTACGTCCCCGTCGACGGTGATGTGAGAGATGCGCTGGAACGGAACGCGGTGCAGGAACTCGCAGAAATGGACGCCGTTCAGCGCCACCTGTCGGCGAATAGAGGAACTAAGTTGCGAAAGAACAGTACCTTAAGTACGAGTGGGAGCTCACGAAAACTATGAAAGTTTTCGTAATTGCAAATTATGTTACTATGTCCGTTTTGGTGAAAAGTAACCAAATATACTTAAAATATAAGAAGACTCAAATGATTTAATGATAGAATTTAAGCACTGTTCGTTTGTATTGAAACGAAAACAATAAAATCAGTACCCTTAGTACGAGTGCGAGCTCACGAAAACTATCATAGTTTTCGTAATTGTAAAACTCGTACTAAGGGTACTGAAGTAGATTTTTTTTGAAGAGAAACTTCTTTTGTAAGTGGTGGGGGGGGGGGGGGGGGGTAAATGAAAAAATGCTGAGGAAAAGATGAAACGGAAATGCGTCACGAACTCCCGTCCGAAAAGAAGAAAATAAGTTTCACTTTAAAAATATAAGTATTATCAAAAAATAATCAATTTAACCCGGACGAAGTTAAACCCACAATGTCAATAGAATACATTTACAAGTACATATTAAACATTTGTAAGAAGAAATAGCAATTATAGTAATTTTTTTTAAGCACTGACTTGTTGGATGTTCACTCACAGATCTTGATGGCGATTTGTACATATATTACAAATATTGTAAACTTTTTAGCAAAATAATTCAAGCGCTGAAAAAAAAATACAAACTCTTTTTTAGCTTTATTCAAATTAATATTTGGAGTCGGTGCCATGCAAGTCTGATAGATCTGAGTTCCCATTTACTACTTGGGTTGCCCTAGCATGGGCACCAACTCCAAATATTAATTTGACTAAAGAAAAAAAATATCTTTGCTTTTTTTTATATAGATAGGTCCGACAAATGAAGTGACGGTGAAGTCCAGACGCGAACATAGCTGATACAGCAGTTCTACCTGCCACACCAGCCATCCTCACCCTGCCGGCCTGCATGTTGCTTCTTCACCCCTCTTTTAAAGGATCCCAGGTTGTAAGAGGGATGGAACACGTGAGCGGGCAGAGCATTCCATTTACGGATAGTGCGACAAAGAAATGAGTCACCAAACTTCTTTGTACGCTTTGGAATAGTGTTACGGTGTGCGTAATTGAACTACTCCGAAACGGCTCGACGGATTTTCGTAAAATTTTATATGCATATTCAGTTGGTCTGAGAATCGGACTACATCTATGCTGGACTGTGCTGAACTGAACTGTGCTTGTTGTACAAATCGCAAGTGCGGTCTTGCGTGGAATATTGCTCGCATCTCTGGGATGGCTCCGCCAAGTACTTGCTCGATGCTTTGGATAGGTTACAGTGGCGCGCGATCCGCATCATAGGCGATGAGGAGGTGACTAAACACCTCGAGCCTCTTCAATTACGCTGTGATGTGGCGTCACTAAGCGCGTTCTATCGTCTGTACCACGGCGAGTGTTCTGAGGAGTTATTCTCTCTTATCCCACCTTCCCCTTTCCTTCAGAGGACCACGCGCGCTGGCCTACGTTGTCACCGTCTAACTGTGGCCATAATTCCAACACGTACAAAGAAATTTGGTGACTCATTTCTTTGTCGCACTATCCGTAAATGGAATGCTCTGCCCGCTCACGTGTTCCCTCCCTCTTACAACCTGGGATCCTTTAAAAGAGGCGTGAAGAAGCAACATGCAGGCCGGCAGGGTGAGGATGGCTGGTGTGGCAGGTAGAACTGCTGTATCAGCTATCTTCGCGTCAGGACTTCACCTTCACCTAACATCAGGTGGGGTGGAGTCATTTGTCGGACCTATCTATAAAACAAAAAAAAAATCATCCGACTAAATGTTAAAGGTGGTCCTTAACCCTTAATTTTTTTTGTTTTTTTTTTTTATTATACATCATACAAAAATACATACAACCCTAAATTTTCACCCTTCTACCACCAACCCCTATTTTTTTATGGCGGTACGAAGTTCTCTGGGACACCTAGTTCTAATATGACAAAATAAATAGTTGAGGAGCTCGATGGCGCCAGTGGTTAGCGCGTTCGGCTGCGGTCGTTTGATGTTGAGCAATTTTCGCAGTGGTCGGTCATTGGATGGGTGACCAAAAATTTACTACCTCGAGTTCCTCCGTGCTTCGGAAGGCACGTTAAGCCGTTGGTCCCGGCTGCATCTGCAGTCGTTAGCACCCTCCAACCCGCACTGGGCTCGCGTGATGGGTCATGGCAAAATCTCCCTAATCCATCCATAGGGAAGGCCTGTGCCTAGTGTTGCCGATCGATAGTCGACTATCGATGATTAATCGATAGTCTATCGATAGCCAACCAATCGTATGACAATCGATCAGCTTATCGATAGTATCGATACTATCGATAGCACAGAAAAAGCCAATATCGATAGTATTGTAGGTCGTTAATAACAAACTATCGATAGTATTGATACTGTCGATTTTATTTGCAACCATACTATCGATAGTTTAACAATCTGCAATAGTATTGTTTACAATTTTCAGATACTAGCAAACCAGTGAACCAAATGTTCACCAAAACCTGATTTCTCGAAAACCGGAAGTGCTACGTTACTCAAATCCGGTTTGTAGTCTCATCAGACTATTCTTAACTTATAACTTAAATATTCTTTTTATCTATCTCTTACGGTTTGGCCGCTGAAACAGCACCACGGACAGACGGCCTCGTCTAATAGATAAGAGATTATAGTCAATCACAAAATTTAGTCTAAAACTATCGCTAGTATCGATACTATCGATAGTTTGTTATTAACGAACTACAATAGTATCGATAGTATTGCACTCATTCGATAGTATTGCCTTGTTCTGAGCTATCGATAGTATCGATACTATCGGTTGTATCGATTCTATTCGATAGGCCTATTGATAGGGTACATGATTTTCGATGTAAACTGTCGATAGTTTTAATATCGATAGTTCGGCAACACTACCTGTGCCCCAGCAGTGGGGACATTAATAGGCTGATGATGATGATGATGAAATAGTTGAAGATGTGGCGGCGACATCTATATGCCCCACATATATACAACGGATGGAGGAAATCATTACTCACCATCCTCAAGAGATGGCGTTACCTGCACTGCGATCATAATAGTATGGAAGCCTACATCGCGCAAATGAAATTCGGAGGCTAACTCTTGATATATACGATGCCCGACCAACATCAGACGGGCCGCGGCCCCCGAGCTAACATCACCCAGCTCGGAGGAAGATCTTCCCCTTTGGCCTTCCTACAAAGATAAAGATGTGACAACCAAACTCACTTTGAATGATTGCGGCTCGCACAGTATCAGTGCCTCGAACGCTTCTCCCCTTTGAAGGGGCATACCCCCAGCAGTCTCCTCGACTCCCCAGTCCATAGCGGTCAGATGGTTCCGTACAACACACATCTCCACGAATCTGAAGTTGAGGTGCATTGCGATGTCGTCCCTGGGGTCGGTATTGGGCCCGCATTGGAAGTTGATGGCGAACCTGTGGAGAACAGTTATGGGGTGGTAGAGCGGCGAGGGTGCATCGGGTGGTGCAAACGAATTATTTCTGTTTTTGTTGAAGACAGAGTAAATAAAAGTTATTTCTATGTAGTCCCACATTTATTCTATTAAAAATAAGACTTTTATATCTTTGTAAATATTACTAGAAAAAATTCCACGCGCCCAGGCAGCAAACGGGGCTCGAACCCGCACCCTTCGCTATCCGGGAGAATGCACTGACCATTATGCTTGCGCGGCTGATGGCCGTGTCAAAATTTCTCTAGCCCTTCTTAAGATGCAGGGCAGCGCCATCTCTTCGCATTGTAGGTAACCCACAATGTCAAATGAATACCATTACAAGTATTAAACAAGAAGGGCTAGAGAAATTTCGACACGACCATCAGGGCCCGCCGGGATTCGAACCCGGGACCTCTTGAGTAGGCGCCACCTTGAAACCCGACGTTCTAACCACTCGTTAAAAGAAAGAATCAATGAAACAAGGTGGTCTATCAGCCACTTTGAATTCAGAACGCGTCTTTTATTCACCCGCATAAAAATCTGAGAGCCTGCAACGGTTGCCGCAAACAAGGGCGGATCCAGCTTTGGCGCCAGGGGGGTTCATATAGCCAGCTTTGGCGCCAGGGGGGTTCATATAGCCAGCTTTGGCGCCAGGGGTGTTCATATAGCCAGCTTTGGCGCCAGGGGGGGGCGCCAGGGGGGGAGTCGTGGTATATTAAATATTGAAAGTACTTAAATAAAATCCCCCTGGGTTTGGTCCATCTGTACCCAGCCCAGGGGGGGGGGTCATGACCCCCATGACCCCCCCCCTGGATCCGCCCTTGGCCGCAAATGCCGCAATCACCCGCGAGCTCTGTGACCGCAAATGCCCTAATCACCCGCCAGCTCTGTGGCCGCAAATCGCCAAGAGTTTTGCTTTTGCATATTACTAGAGATGGGCCGACTATAGTATTTGCCTACTAACCGACTATCCGACTAATCGGTTTTCGAATGAGGGCTACCGTTTTCTGTCTCACCAGATAGCGCCACTGTTGAGTGAGGTCCTAAATTGTAACTTTTAAAGTTTATTAATACGCACATGAAATCAAAGGTTACATTTAGATCGTATTTTAACACAAAAGAACCATATCCTAAACATAATAGGCCATGCCACAGTGACGCGCAGTTCCGTTTTATTCGGAAAAAATGATAACATAATCATTTTTATTAGCTCAGATTTTTAATAACTGACATTCATTGCTACATAACTCATATTTGCCATAATTAAGCCGAATTGTTACCAATTATTCACAACATTATTTTAATTAGAAATAAACCCGCGTAGTCAACCAACAAGCAATAACATTTGACATTTCGGAGACCTCACGCTACACTAGCGCCTCTAGCGGCGGATTCATACGCGATAGCCCTCATTATTCTGCAATAACGATCATTCTAATACCTATCTTAGGAAGGTGTTCGGAATATTTCGTCACTACTCGGCTTGCTCGCGCACCACACGAATCTCCCAAATCGAGCCGAAATAATCATGTTCCAACATCACAATTTGCCTCTAAGGAAAAAAAAAACCTATGGACTTCTTTAAGATTTGCTAGCACTTAAGATTTCATTTACTATTACCATAACTACATATATAGGGTGAAATTGAATGTTTCTATGAAACTTCGTGAGATTGTTGGGTTATGTGTATAGAGTATGCCTGTTTTTTTTCGGATTTTTTTGAAGTATATTTTTTTCATGTATTTATTTATAATTTGTGTATTTTTATGTCCTTTCCTCCTTTTGAGTAGTTATTCGTTTTAAACAAACAAACTTACATATCCAGTGAAAAACAACTAATAAATAAGCACTTCTAAAAAACGGAAAAACATTAAATTCCACCGCGGGTCAACGACCGACCGCGCCCGCCAGCCGTTGAGTGAGTAGGTACCTCTACACAGAGGTCAGCTGACTCGTTTGATTCCACACAATACAATAAAATCGTCTTAGATGCCTTTATTGAAATTGAAATAATAAGCACAAATATCATCTTCTCTTAAGCAGAGAAAAACTTTAAAAGTTAATAATAATTTTGTCACGATTGGAAATAGGCAAATGTTAAACAAAAAGAAATACTTATTGCAGTTCAAAACTTGGGTCAGAATGAAATTTATAACCCGGTATTCAAAAGTACTTACGAGACCGGCGATGTAGGTAGGTACAACGAGGAACGAGGAACATATTCATTTTTTTCACTAGAACTTTTTATCAAATCAATCACACTGGTAGTACACAATTAGTTGTTTCTAATCAAAAAGTATTTACACTAGCAATAAAAAGAGACTTAAATTATTATCTGCAAAATTGTTGCTCTAAACCACCATTTTGCTGCAAACAAAGGTAGGCATGTTTGCGGACGTGTCTTTTCACCTTTTTTAAAGTGTCCCTATCACTACTCACTGCACAAAATGCAACTTCTATGGTTTGGGGACTCATTCGTAAACCAAACCTACTTCGTCACACTCGCGATAGCAGTACACCATCTCTAGGTATTCTTGGTTCGTATACCGAGGCATAATGAAATTATCACAGTGTATGTCACTAAGTCAAAAAATGCGCACGCCCACGCGCGATTGATATACTTGCGACTGCGTTTTGCATGCAATCAAAGCAAACCACCGCGTGCGGGGTAGAGGGGAGGTGGGCGGAATTCACATCATCAAAGACGCCGCAACCGGCGCTAGTTGCCAGCGAGGGGGCGCACCGCCCGCCCGTGCTTGCCGCAAAACAACATATTATTACGTGTGTGTGTGTGTGTGTGACTGTGGCTGTGATTAAATGTGTTGGGAATTTCATGAACTGGGCAAATCAGACACGAAGAGTTCCTTCCTTCACTAAGCTCGTAAGTTATACCGATTTGCTCTGTATGATTTTTCCCAATTTAATAAGCCGTTTGTGCTTAAGTTTTAATTAAACGAGGCAACTAACATTAACAATAAAAAAGAAGTTCTTACACTAACAGACAGGCTTTACCGATTTAAAATCGTGACAGTCACATTAACTTTATAGGATTTTTAGTTGCTCTAACAGAAGATTTATTTTATTGATTAATTACCTGTGCTTTATGAAACAATATTCAAAGGTATTGTGTATCAGTGAATAAATAATTATAATATAGCATCTAAGACTATTTTATTGTAATGTTTTTAAATAGTGTGGATCAAAGCGGAGAGTAGGTAAGTGCCGAGTCATCTGTGTGTGTAGTAGGTACCTACACAGGCGGCCGCGGTCGTCGCCCCGACCGGCGCTGATCTCGACTGGAGGCATAATGAAGGCATTCATTAAGTTTCCGTTTTTTTAGTAGTGCTTATTTTAAGTTGCTTTATAACTTCTATGTAGACGTGTTTAAAATGAATAATTACTCATAAGGAAGAAATGACAAAAAAATAACCAAATAAAAAATTAAAAAACGAAAAATTTTATTTTAAAAAATCCGAAAAAAATCATGCATACTCTATACACGTAACCCAACAATCTCATGAATTTTCATAGAAACATTCAATTTCACCCTGTATACTTGACGACCTCCGTGGCCGAGTGGTTTGTACGCCGGGTTTCATGGTGTCGCCGACTCGAGAGGTCCCGGGTTCGAATCCCGGTGGGGGCAGATGTTTGTGTGATGAATACGAGCATTTGTACTCCAGTCATGGATGTTTAATATGTATTTCTATATAAATATGCATATATATTTACAGTATATGTATTCTATCCGTTACCCTAGTATCCCATAACACAAGCCTTACAGTGCTTACTTTGGGGCTAGGCTAATTGGTGTGAGTGTTGGAAATATTTATTTATTATTATTTATTTATACTTACTTCCCATTGCTATTCTGTTACGTGCGATATTAATCGTGTTAAGTTATCTGAATTACTGACTGATTCTTAAGTTCCTAATTCTTATTGTGTTACCTTATTTTTTTTTATATTTTAAGACTATGTAACTTTAAATACGTAACTCTAAGTACTGTTTAAATATGCAAAACAAGCATAAGTTTTGAGTTTTATTTCATTGTTATGGGCCGATTGTAATCGGCATGTTTTGCCGAATAGTCGCCGACAAATCGCCAACTATAAACGATGCCAAATAGTCCTTTCCCGACTAGTCGGCCCATCTCTACATATTGGTAGCTTTCCAATTACAGCATTATAGCGCATTATGCGGCATAATGCTTAACGTTGAGTGTTCCAACTACAGCAACGCTTCGCACAATTGAGCACTCTCAAAAGTAATGCTTTCGTGTGATGCGTGCAATCGTACCAACTCAGAGACAGAAAATTAACAAGTGTTTTTCCTTAAAGTTGTCATTGATCGAAATGTTTTATTTATATGTTATCGTTAGTAATATTATTTATTGTTCAAAAATTATTAAAACTTTCGTTTCATCATAGTTTTTTTTTAAATAATGAAAGTTAATTCAAACTGTGTTAAAAATTAAATATAAATATGGATGAAGGTACAAACATTGTCTTTTTTTTCAACACTGAATTTAGCGCACTCTGCTGGTGCATTTGAAAACTAATTCACGTTCCAATTAAGCGTCAGCATAATTCGGCATTGTGCGCCACTGAGTCGCATTATGCTCTGTAATTGGAAAACCACCATTACCTACAATTTGACATTCTACGCGAGTTGCGACGCGAGATGTTAATCAAAACCTTCACACAACTGACCTCTGAGCGCCTGGAGGTAGATTCCCCTGCACCCTGATCATGCGACCGGGGTACACTCCACCGGGGATGGGGTGCACACATGGTACAATCTAGAAACAGAAAGAAGACAGATATATAATTTGATGCTGTAAGCTTGTGAGTTATCCATGTGACAGATGTGACAGCATGAAATCTAATATATAAAATTCTCGTGTCGCGGTGTTTGTGGTTAAACTCCTCCGAAACGGCTCGACCGATTTTCGTGAAATTTTATATGCATATTCAGTAGGTCTGAGAATCGGATGTAATCTATTTTTCATCCCCCTAAATGTTAAGGGTAATCCACACCTAAATTTTTTTTTTCAAATCTAAAAATATATTTTTTTTTATGATACATTAGTAAAATACATATAACCCTGAATTTTCAACCCTTTAAAATCAACCCCTATTTTATTATGGCGGTACGAAGTTCGCTGGGACAGCTAGTATTTCTATAAGGATCGCGCACATCATGTAGGGCCACAGTGGGGTTAGGCTGGCAGCTGTGACTGCCGGTCTTCGTCGGCTGTAAGGTGGTCTGGGCGCGGCTTGGCCGCCGCGTGCCCTTGGTGCCATTCGGCATAGGTCACCCCGTCTGGGGATTGCCTAGTACCCTAGCGCAATGAACCAGAGGCGTGTCGCCCGGTCCACTCGTTCGTCCAGTGAAGTGGCGCACGCTAAGGTGCGCTGATCCTGAGACGCCCCCATATGGGCGTAGGAGGGTACCGGTGTTTTATAGTGGATAGGACCGGCGCGCCGGGGAGTCCTACACACGCCGCGCCCAGCCAGCGCGCGGTACAGTGCGTAAATACATTTTCCACCGTCAACAAAAAAAAAAAAGGGCCACAGTGGGTCATATATGGGTTAAAAAAGCAAAATGAATGGGACAAATGAAAAATAATTTAATTTTTAACTAAATATTCCGCTTTCAGCAAGCATTCTACATAAGATACCAAAATTTCAGTTCTGTAACACAATCTGTTAATTCTGTTTACAATCCAGACTCCGTGACAGACGGACAAAGACAGATGACAGAGTAACAGCAATAGGTTTCCATTTTTACTCTTTGGTTAAGCAACCCTAAAAACCTTAAAAAGCAGTAACAACACCATTCTGTGAGTCGTGACAGGTGATCCGCATGCACCATTTTGGAGGCACTCCGTGCGAATGATGACTGAAATAGAAGTTAATTATTCTTCCTGGTGTCGCTCGCACGGAGTGCCTCTAAGGTACATGACGTACTAAAAATGCAAAACTTTTGCGAATACTACCTTATAGGCTACTAACTCTTAGTTATGTCATATTGTATACTAACATATGGATCTGTGTTGTCTGACAATAAATGATATTATTATTATTTCTATTCATAAGCTCCCAATTGTAATCAAAATCATTTGTCCATACTTACAGATAACCGGAGCAGTTATTAGAATTATGTTATATCATTGATCATCATCATCATCAGCCTATTAATGTCCCCACTGCTGGGGCACAGGGCTACTCTATGGATGGAATAGGGAGATAGGGCCATGACCCACCACGCGGGCCCAATGCGGATTGGCGGGTGCTAACGACTGCAGATGCAGCACGGAGGAGCTCAGGATAGAAGATTTTTGGTCACCCATCCAATGACCGACCACTGCGAAAGTTGCTTAACTTCAATAATCGCAACCGAAAGCGCTAACCACCCGCGGCATCGAGTTCCTCGTTATATCATTAAGAAAGCTAAAAGATAAGTCCTTGCTACTGTACAATGATCTCTGTACTTGTTTATATTTAAAATGTTGTTATCTTGCATGATAATGAAATGTAAATAAGATATAAATAATAGGTAATATATATGTTTAGTGAGGACTTGATATAAAACGGAGTTCTCTCGTTCGGTTGCGATTGTTGAAGTTAAGCAACTTTCGCAGTGGTCGGTCAAATGGATGGGTGACCAAACATTTTCTATCTCGAGTTCCTTCGTGCTTCGGAAGGCACGTTAAGCTGTTGGTCCTGGCTGCATCTGCAGTTGTTAGCACCCGCTAATCCGCACTGGGCCCGTATAGTGGGTCATGGCCTAATCTCCTTATTCCATCCCTAGGGAAGGCCTGTGCCACAGCAATGGGGAAATTAATAGGTTGATGATGATGATGATATTTAAAATTAAATATAGACACAAAATTCCAATATTAATGACATTTAAATTGATTCCATTATGAGTAATCTATACATTAAGGTTCAAACAATGTTAATAACTAAGGCAATTAAAGTTCCACTTTTAGAAAACTTAAGTATATAATTGTGGTACAATTCTTAAATTACAACTTTTTTTTTACCTAAAGAAAATATTACTAGAAAAAAATCCACGCAGACCAGGGGGCCAATCGCCTAACGGAATTGCTTTGGAAAACGCTAACGCTTACGATTTTATTTTGTTATTTCTAGCCGCCTGAGGTATTCAAATGCCTCGCGCTCTTTCTTTTTCTTTTGCATTGGTAATAACAATATTAAAAAAAATGAGCGTGAGGTATTCGAAAACCTCAGGCGGCTAGAAATAACAATATAAAATCGTAAGCGTTAGCCTTTCCCAAAGCATTTCCGTTAGGCGATTGGCCCCCAGGGTGCCGTTCACCTAACGGAAATGCTTTGGAAAACGCTAATGCTTACGATTTCATTTCGTTATTTCTAGCCACCTATGGTTTTCAAATGCCTCGCGCTCTTTTTTTTACTTTTGCATTTGTAATAACAATATTAAAGAAAATGAGCGTGAGGTATTTCAAAACCTTCGGCAGTCAGAAATAACAAAATGAAATCGAAAGCATTAGCGTTTTCCAAAGCATTTCCATAATTTTAACACTGTGTTAGGAGGTTTTGATTATTTATTTTGATTAAAAATTATTTGAGATTGAAAATAAAGTAATTTATACAGATGCATAATTATATGGGTTTGTTCACCAGCTCCTCAAATTTTAAAACCCAATAACAAGCATAAGACTATAATTTTGATCTATAAATAATTTAGAGTTAAGCTAGTAAAATTTGGTTTCAAAATGTCGAGATTTAACATAATATTTTCATATCAATGTAGTCTACCGTATTCCATTCCTAATGTGGAAAGATATGGCTACTTTTGTGGAAAGCTTCTTTCTTCTTTCTTTTTTTGATGGCTCAATGGGGATATACCCACAATTCTGCCAATTTCACGTAGATAGCCACTACACGACAAGGGATTCTTAATAAAATTAATTTTGAAATGAGAAGTTGAAAATACTATTTTAAAAATTCTGTCACTTCCTATGTTGATTTAACGACCCTGTAACAAAACGCTGGAAAGCTGTCAGATTGTTGATCTTCCAAAAGTAAAGTCAAATACTTTAGACATGGTTTGAACCATAAATAGACAACTGAATTCTCATATGTTAATTTCTTCATAGCATATTGATTTTATATGAGTTTTTTTCAAGACTTTTTGTATCTGAAACACATGCCTAATAAACTTGATCTAAATTAGGTATTTGTATGTGAATTAAATTTTAACACCTTTAAGGTTTTCGATAATTGTATGTTACATTGCATAGGAGGAAAACCTCAGTTACAGAATGGCATACATTGCCTCCTTTTAATAATACAGCCTTGAAAACTGTCTATAATGTAAAAACCAATTCCAAGATCAATTTAGACATGGGTGTGTTTGCGCGGTAAATAACATGTGCAATCGTTACAAATCGTTCTGAACGCCCTTGAGAATACCAAAAAGGTATTAGGCAATGATTATTTTTGAATGTTAAAGGATAGAAATGTTAGAATAACATCATACATACCGGATTGTAAATGGGTGATGCCATTTTGTCAACGCTGCTTCTCGATGTTCTAAAAGTTGTGCAACACTTCCAAGATGTCTGTACAACGTTTTAGTTCTATTACACTTAATAATTACTCACAAAATACGCGATCTTCCACGGAATTAATAAGATAGACCGATAGAAATTACACCAAACTCAGTGAGAATGCGTCATACATGCGTCATACGTCATATGACAGCACAATACGTCATTTCTTTATTTTAACGTTCAAAAACAATTTTAAATTAAAAATGTTTGGAAAAATAGCAATCACTGTTGTCGATTCTGACATGATTCTCTAAACCTAAACTTAACTCCAACAACTTTAATACAGTGTATCCTTGTCATTCCCTATACAGAATGAAAAGGAGAGACTGATGTTTAATTTATTTTTAAGTTTAGAAAATCATACCAGAATCACTCCACTATGTTTTGATCAAGTATGTAATCGATATAAAATCGGTCCCTTGCCACCGTCAACGTGCCAAGTCTACTTGAGCCAACTGGTATTGCAAGAGACGATGGCAAGAGACCGGACGGTATGAGTTTGATTCCATGGAAGATGGGTCGGGTGCTAGTATGGGATGCAACCTGTTCAGACACGCTGGCCCCTTCCCATCTACATGGAACCAACAACAGAGCTGGTGCGGCTTGTGAAGCGGCTGAAAAAGCTAAGGCAGGCAAATACAGGGGTCTAGGCTCCGAATATGATTTTGTCCCATTCGGTGTCGAGACCCTTGGTCCGTGGGGTCCTAGCGCTATAAGGCTTTTTAAAGAAATAGCGAAAAGATTAGTCGACATCACAGGAGACCGAAGAGCTGGCAGCTACCTTGGACAAAGAATTAGTCTAGCTATCCAAAGGGGGAACGCTGCCAGTATCTTCGGAACCTTGCCTAAAGGGACTCCTTTTAATAATGTATTTTAGTTATTATATTTTATTTTTTTAAGGTTTTTAGTTTTAGGTTCATTGTTATAGTATATTTTTTGTTTTAATTATTCTTAAATGTATAAATACAAGCCTCTTGTTGATGTTAAAAAAAAAAAAATCGGTTTTTGATTCAAGAATGAAAAATTGGTCGTGTGTATGTCCGAACCTTTATGTCCGAATTGTATTTACAATTTTAAAACTCGAAATATTTTTTATGATTTCTTTTCTGCGCTTCACTTTTTACACTAATAAATTCAATACTGCGATTCGGAACTAAATTTCTTCATCATGTTGGCAGTCATGTTATTTTGACGCATTATGTACCTACTCTAGTTAGATCATGATGAATGGAATTCCGTCTTCACTTTTTCACTTTAATTAAAATTAATTGAATTTGCGCATAGCCCTCAAAAAAGTGTCAGCAATCATAAGGCGGCTGTTGCAACATCAACAGGTAGCCCCGAAGTGGGTTTAGTGCATTCAAAATGACCATCGAAGGGAACAAAGATGAAGCTGACAAGTGTATTGAGATCGCTCAAAGTGCATTTTCCGTGGGCAACGTCGAGAAAGCTGAGAAATTCTTGCTGAAAGCCGAGAGGCTGTATCCTACCGCTCGCGCTAAAGAGCTTTTGGCGAGAGTCAGAGCGGCGCCTTCGTCGGGAAACACGAAGAAACGGACACCACCTAATAGCCCTGGAGTTGAGGAAGTTAGACGGAGAAAAGCTCCAAGCCACCAGCCACCCCAGCGGGAATACACCGCGGAACAATTAGACGCCGTCAAAAGGATCAAAACTAAATGTAAAGACTATTATGAAATCTTAGGTGAGTGCTACAATCGGTCTTTAAATTAAATTAGTTATGCATGACGTGTTTGTGGCCTTGGTCGCTATTGTCAATCATTGTTTACCTGAAGCAATAACTTATTCAAAAGAAGAAATATCCTTGATATATATGTCACTTAGAAAAATAAACAAAATAAAATGTATATTTCTAATGTCTCTTACAAATTAGTATTACCCCTGCTTCAGATTTAAGTAAAACTTCTGTAGGCTAAACGGTACAACCGCGATACCAAGGTTGAATGTATGTTATATTTTTTACTGAAAAGATCTGTATTTAAGAAGTAATTTGTGCTAAGTTTCATCTCCCGGAGATGCGTAGTTTCTTTGAAAAAAAAATATGAAAATCGAAAATATTTCGTCAATAATGACTAAACTTTGACAGGTTTGTCATATATTGTACTTGTTAGTTTTGTTCAAGCAAAGGTAATGGGTTTATAGAGCCTTGAATAAAACGTTTTGATTTTAAATTTTTTAATAAATTTACTGTAAACTTGCAAACAATATCTGATAGTTTGGCTCAGCTTTCCATTATATGTAATTGAGTTGCAAGCTGAAATTTTTGTCACGCAAAGTATTAACTATTATAAACACGTACACGAAATCTTTTAAGGCGGAAACGAATAGAACTCGAGAAAAAAATTATTGAAAATTAATGTTTTTGTAGGTTATGAGTCAATTTTGACAGAAATTTTGATCAGTGCTGCCATTTTTTTATGCAAAAATAACATGTTTCTCGTTGTCTATGGTAAATATAAGTTTATTAAGTTGGTGCTATTGTCAAAATGTGACAATTTACCGCCATTAATGAGATCTGTCAGTCAGTGTTTGTGTTCGTCACAATTGAGAGCTTTTTCGTACTCCTGTTGATATTAACATCGTCTGACTACCATGGCATCCTCAAAGCCTTCGGCCTCGAGTTCTGCTGTCCCTTCGCCTGAAGAGTCGAGTGTAGTGCGAGTTTTGGACTCTAATGAGCCGCTTGTGTGGTGATACTTCACACTAGGTTAGGTTAGGTTAGTGTTGTGACCTTAACGCGCGAGCCGAGCGAGCGAAGCGAGCGTGCCGCGGGAGCGGCCGGCGAAGCGCCAGAAAGAAAAATTCGTTAATAGAGACTCTTTCTACAAAAAAATCTACGCCCTGGAAGTACAGTTTTACCTTTAAAACCCCTCTAATTTTTTATAAATATCATTTCTGTAAAAAAAACGCCGGGAGGGGGGGGGGGGTTACCCTTCCCTCTGAGGAGTCTTCCCTTATACCTATCCCCCTGAAATTCCACTACATTTAACAGATTTAATGAATTTTTAGGTTAGGTAAAAAAAAACTGCATTTCCGCCAAAAATCTTTTATGGCGGGGTTGTCGGGGAGAGCCCCCCCTCCCCCTCCCCTACAAATTACCCCAAAATTCGATTACATATAATGGAATTAAGTACCGATAGTTTAAATGTATACTTAAACAAAGGTCAAAAACCCCTCCCCCTACCTTCAACCCTCCCCGGGTTGAAGGTAGGGGGAAGGGTTCCCCATCCAAATTCTCTAAAATGCACAATAATGTAACTTTTATAAATTTATAACCTCAAAATGTCTTTATTGCATATCTCTGAAACTATGCGTTTCCGGGGGGGGGGGGGGGTGGAAGTAGTTAGGGGGGCTTTGGGGGGCTCCCCCTCCCTCCCATCCTCCAAAACCCCAAATTTTTGTATCGCGTTTGTATCTTCTTTATTGCATATCTCTAAAACTATGCGTCTCCGAGGGGGGGGGGAGTAGTTAGGGGGGTTTGGGAGGTCCCCCCCTCCTCCCCCCATCCTCCAAAACCCCAAATTTTGGTATCGCGGTCGTACCTTCTTTATTGAATATCTCTGAAACTATGCGTCTCCGGGGGGGGGGAGTAGTTAGGGGAGGTTAGCCCCCCCCCCCCCCCTCCCCCCCCCCATCCTCCAAAACCACAAAAGTGTGGTATCGCGGTTGTACCTTTTTACCCTTCTGTATCTTTCTTTACCTTCACAGTATGTTGTATCCTATGATGACAAAATTTTAGTAATGTAGTTTATCATCATCATCATCTGCCTATTAATGTCCCCACTGCTGGGGCACAGGCCTTCCCTATGGATGGGTTATGGAGATTGGGCCATGACCCACCATGCGGGCCCAGTGCGGGTTGGTGGGTGCTAACAACTTCAGATGCAGCTTGGACTAACTGCTTAACATGCCTTCCGAAGCACAGAGGAGCTCAAGATAGTTAATTTTTGGTCACCCATCCAATGACCGACCACTGCGAAAGTTGCTCAACTTCAACGACCGCAGCCGAACGCGCTAACCACCGGCGCCATCCAGCTACTCCTTGTAGTTTATCCAACAAAAAAATTCAGTAGTGAAGATAGAAGTAATGGTTCAAATAGTAAGTTACAAATAAACTTAAACTGGCCCCAAGCCAGTTGCATCCTAAAATGACAATTCTAATTGGGTATCGTTAAATTTTGTCACATTGGTGTTTATTCTGGCATGAATCTCTAAACTTAAAACTAAATTTTGCATCAGTCTCTCCTTTATTCTGTGTAGAGAATGACAAGATAAACTGTTCTCATATTTATTGTTAGGTTTAGAGTGCCAGAATTAACACTAAAAAACAATAATCATCATTCCCATGCCATGGAAGAAAAAATTATTGGTAATCTTAAGATTTAAACCTCTAGCAGTTAAATGCTGAAAAAATATCAGCACCAGCCTATTAATATCCACCGATGTTGGGGCACATTCCTTCCTTATGGATGGAATAGGGAGATTGGGCCATGACCCACCATGCGGGACCAGTGCTCACTGGTAGGTGTAACAACTGCAGATGCATGTAACAATCACAGCCAAACACTAACCACTTGCACCATCAAGGTCCACGCCTCCTTAGCTATCGTTTTGATGGTTATGTAATTTAATAAAAACCTACTTTTTTTTTCTAATACACAGGAGTTACCAAAGAAGCTACTGATTCTGACATCAAGAAGGCATACAAGAAACTTGCGTTACAACTTCATCCGGACAAGAACCATGCTCCAGGAGCTGCCGAAGCGTTCAAGGTAATATTTATGAAAAAATTTAATAGTTTTTACGGGTTAATGCACGAACATTTTTAAAGTTTTCATGCATTAACCCCTAAAAACCAGTTTTATTTAATGAGTGATGTGTGTGAAAACCTAAGAAACAAACATAATATTTATGACTCAAACCTAAATCTACTTAATATCAAACTCAAACTAAAGTTAAACCTGGACCTTAACTGATGCTGTCACTTTTATTTTATAAAAAGAAGACAGAGACAACATTAGGTATAAACCAAGGGTAACTTTAGTCCGAGCTTTGGAATAAGAAAGCTAGCGAGCACAAGTAATAACACATAACACCGCCAAATTCTGCACAAACATATCGTTTGTATGCGCAACTCGACAGAGGGGAAAGCTGTGTATGCCTTCTCCCCACCTGGCCTCGAACATGTTGCTTGATGCTCACACCGTCTATTTTAGAGTTCTGTGAATCATCATCATCAGCCTATTAATGTTCCCACTGCTTGGGCACAGGCCTTCCCTATGGATGGAATAGGGAGATTGAGCCATGACCCACCACGCGGGACCTGTGCGGATTGGCGGGTGCTAATGACTACAGATGCAGCAGGTACCAACGGCTTAACGTGCCTTCCAAAGCATGGAGGAACTCGAGATTTTTGGTCACCGACCCAATGTCCAACCACTGTGAAAGTTGCTTAACTTCAACGATCGCAGCCGAACGCGCTAACTACCTGCGCCATCGCGCTCCTCATTTTCCATGTATAATAATCATGAATTTTATTTTTAAAATAAATAAATATTCCCAACACTCACACCAATTAGCCTAGCCCCAAATTAAGCACTGTAAGGCTTGTGTTATGGGATACTAGGGTAACGGATAGAATACATATACAGTACATATATAAGTATATTTATATAGAAATACATATTAAACATCCATGACTGGAGTAAAAATGCTCGTATTCATCACACAAACATCTGCCCCCACCGGGATTCGAACTCGGGACCTCTCGAGTTGGCGACACCATGAAATCCTGCGTACAAATCACTTGACTACGGAGGTCGTCATTTTTCTCATCACAATGTGTTTCAAAAAAGTGGAAACTTTATAGGACTACTTTCCTGTCTGCTGCCGTCCATCTCTGCTAAAGCCCTTTCTCTCAAGAACACCTGGAGATTTCTCTTCTAAGTCGAAACTCTTTTGATCACTAAGTCTAATTTGCAGAATTCCTATGAATGCAAAACCACCTGAAACGCAAACTGGCTAAAAGCTGTATTCACAGCAATAAAGATGTAGTGATAAGTTTTGGTAAAAATTTAAAAAAATCCTTTCAGCGGTATAAAAAGTTGTACTTAATGTAAAATATTGAAAAATTATTAATTGTATATTAATTAGTATAGTAACTGTGCTTAGTAAAATAAAGGAAACTATTTTAGGCGTTTTGCAAAATAGGCTCTGCGACCAAAATAAGAGTCAAAGCCTAATTAATTTAATAAGCCTAAATAATTTAATAGTTAATTTACCCCCTTAAGTGACCCCCGTTGCCCCATAACTTTACTTATACTTCTACTTAATAGACGTTCTGCAAATTAAGCTTTGTGGTCACAATAGAGTCAAAAGCCTTAATTTACCCCCTTAAGTGACCCCCGTTGCCCCATAACTTTACTTATACTTCTACTTAATAGATGTTCCACAAATTAGGTTTGTGATCACAATAGAGTAAAAAGGCTTAATTTACCCCCTTTGGACGGGTCTACCCTTGGCCCCATAAGATTACTTATTATTCCACGTTCACACCAGGCTATCGGCAACGCAGCCGCCATCTTAACCGACCCGGAGAAAAGGAAGCAGTATGATTTACGCGGCGAGGAGGTCACCCACACTCCTCAGCAGCAACAGTACTACGCTCGTGGGTTCGAGTCCGACTTAACAGCTGAAGAACTGTTCAACATGTTCTTTGGAGCTACCGGTCAATATTATGGTGTCTATTTTTTTTTTATTATTTAAGCTTGGTTTTGGTTCGCTTGCATTTAGATGGTAGTGTACTTTTTGAAGAAAAACTTCTTTCCGGACGCATTTTACACGTGTAAATGGAAAAGTTGAAACAGGAGTGCGTCACGAGCGTCACACGGCTATATACAGGGTATCCCACGGCTACCTCACACGGAGGGAAAGTATATTAAATATTGAATATAGGATATTTTACCGAAAGAAGACATCATTTTATTTTTAATAATAACTAGAACTGCATTGACAGATTTTTTTTAAATCGCCTCCTACAACTGGGAATCAACCTCGTGAAATTTCGAAAAAAAAAAATCACGGCATATTTTATAATAACCATTATTTTTGGTAAATAACAAAGCTTTTTAAATGAAAGAAAAGTCATTAAATTTAACATTTTATGTAAAATTATTTAACACAAACTAACACAAAAACGAAACGATGCAAGAAAAAAAATATTAATTTATCAAATGTTCAAAATGTCTGGGCAAAATACGATTATTTCGCCGGTTGTACATATTAGATGGCCAGCGAGATCCCCAGATCTAACCCCACTGGACTTTTTTTTGTGGGGCTATGTAAAAGATGTAGTATACAAGATCCGGTACGACAGTGTGCAGGAGTTAAAAAATTAACTTGACATTATTACAAACCTTCACCACGCAAAGAAAATTAAATCGACAGGCAGAGAAATTATTAAAACAGAATTTGCATACAACAAAATGTGATCCATTTACGAATTTTTGATAAATTAAATATATTTTTTTCATGCACCGTTTCGTTTTTATATTAGATTGTGTTAAATAATTTTAAATAAAATGTTAAATTTATGACTTTCATTTAAAATGCTTTGTAATATAGAAAGACTAATCCTTATGATTAACCCTTTTAATGGTTATCATAAAATATGTAGTGGTTTTTTTTCGAAATTTCACGAGTTTGATTACCAGTTTTAGCAGGCAATTTTTAAAAATCAGTGAATGCAGTTCTAGTTATTCTTAAAAATAAAATGATGGCTTCTTTCAGTAATATATCCTTTTTTCAATATTTAATATACTTTCCCTCCGTGTGAGTTAGCCGTGGGGCGTCCTGTATATGTATTTATGTGTCTGTGTGTCTGAGATACGTGCGCAGCTTTTCCCCACGAGCATGAAAGTTGGAGGGTAACTCGGTGAAGGCTAAATACATAATATATATGAGTGATGCGTGCGCTGCTACATTCCCCTATGCATAATGCCCCGCTTATGTCAGGTTATTTAAGAAAAGAAGTTACACTTCAGACGTTTGGTCCGTGTACACCATTTATTTTTCAGCTCGTAAGTTGAAAAGCCAAGTCTCATTATCAGCCTATTAATGCCCCCACTGCTGGGGACAGGCCTTCCCTATGGATGGAATAGGGAGTTTTTGCCGTGACCCACCTCGAGTACTATTGGTGGGTGCTAACGATTGCAGCTGCAGTCCAGACGAACGGGTTTACGTGCGTTCTGAAGCACGGAGAGAGATCGTAAATTTTTTGGTCACCCATCCAATGACCGACCACTTCGAAAGTTGCTGAACTTCAACAATCGCAGCCGAATGCGCCAACCACCTGGGCCATAAAGCTCCTCTACTGTTACAGTATGTGAGTACGGACCATGTGGGGTAATGATGGCGGGGTAAAAGTTGGGTTTGCTTGCTTTTGGGTCTTGCTCAAAGAACCTCTGTTCGAAGTCGAGTTACTTTTGGATGTGATTGTTAGAAAGCGTGATTAGAAGACCTTATTATTATGAGGCCACCATTTTCTATAGACGCTTTCTTGACGGATTCCAAAGGAAAAATAAAAAAAAAGTTGTCTATGTTTTCATCAAAATCGGTCCAGCGGCTTAGCGTGAAATCGTAACAACAGACGCACAGAAAAACTGAGTTGTTACAGTTATAGCTTTTATAATACACACATCAAAAGTGTCTAGGGATCAAGCATTTTTATGCGGATTTCTTGAGATTGAGATGTGGCTTTGTAATAAATTTATGATTTTATAAATTTATATGGATCCTTTTTGGTGCATTTCATAATTTGAATCAGGAACTGTGAATCAAATTCGAGTAAAAGATGAAAATCAGCTGTCAATATTTTCCCTATAAAAACATACAACGCATTGAAGACATTATTAGTGCTACTGTTTCCCTACTACTGATTAAAACCAACGTTATTATGGAGCGGCGACGTCATTTAAGCAGGGAAGAAATGCTCAGAGCCGTGGGAATGATAGAAGCTGGTTCCCGGCAACGTACTGTGGCTTTAGCTCTGAATACAAGTCAGAGTGTTATCAGTCGACTTTGGACACGATACCGAAGCACTGGTACCGTGGCTGAGCGCCATGGAGGACGGTATCGCTGCACCACACGGAGACAAGACCGATACATTCAAATCTTAACTCGAAGAGCTCCAACAATAACCGCCATGATGTTAGCCGTGAGGCTTCATCACTCTTCAGGGAACTTAATTAGCGACCAAACAGTCAGAAACCGCTTGCATGAAGTGAACCTTCATTCCCGAAGACCGCTACGGGTACCACCTATAGCAATGCACAATCGTAGGATTCGATATCAATGGGCTCTTGAACACAGAAATTGGGCAGAAGAACAATGGCGTTTCGTGTGCTTTTCTGATGAGTCTCGTTTTGGTATGAGACCGGATACAAGACGTATACGACACTGGAGAACCCCTGGACGCCAACAGCGATTAAAATCCTGCCAGGAAGTCCATCCTTATAGTGGTGGAACCATCATGGTATGGGCGGGTATTTGGATCGGCGGAAGAACTGAGTTGATTTGGATCAGAGGCAACCTCAACGCTCAAATTTATGCTGAGACGATTGTATCAGACGTCATCGTTCCTCTACAAGTGCAAATCGGTCCCTTATTTCAGTTAATGCATGATAATGCACGACCGCACACCGCAAGAGTTGTAAGACAGACTCTCGCCGCAGCTAACATCAATGTCCTGCCCTGGCCTGCTCAGTCGCCAGACTTGAACCCGATTGAGCATGCATGGGATATGCTACAGAGAAGAGCTCTGCCGAATATGGAGGGTATCCAGTCGCAAGAAGACCTTTTTTTGTTGTTGCAACGAACATGGGCGGCCATTCCACAGCGTGATTTGGATGAACTCATTTTGAGTATGCCAAACCGATGTTCTTGTGTTGTTAGTGTTCGCGGTAGAAATACGGATTATTAATTGTTTAAGTTACCCAATAAAATTTTAGAGAAAACTGTTATTTCAGTCTTTTTTTCGAACTTTTGTGTTAGTGGTTCAAATGTCAAAAATCCCTTTATTAGGAAAATGGCAAATTTCTTTATTAATGCAAAGATGACTTGGTTTATCGTTACTGTGACAAACGAAAACACTTTATTTGATGAATCCTTAAAGAAAATTTTAATTAATATCAATCAGGAGAAAAGTTATTGCAAAAATATATGTTGATCCCTAGACACTTTTGATGTGTGTATTTTTGTACATATTATGTTCGCTTTGCTCTTTGGCTTGTTACTAATTTTTGAAGTGAACTATTGAGTATAACAGGTAAGTTTGTAATATTATGCCTTTTTTGAAATGACACTTTTTTCGGTGGGGTGTAAATGGAAAAATCTTATGACAAAGATGAAACGGAAATGCGTCACGAGCGTCTCACGACTACATATATATATATATATATATATGTGTGTGTGTGTGTGTGTATCCTCCACACAAACACACCCACACACACATACATATATGTGTGTGTGGGATCAGTGCCGTCTTTGATCTATTGGAGGCCCTGGGCATATTAGGATAATGGGGCCCCTATGACCCCTTATTTTTTTTTTCTCAACATACCAATTAGCCTAGCCCCAAAGTAAGCACTATAAGGCTTGTGTTATGGGATACTAGGGTAACGGATAGAATACATATACTGTACATATATAAGTATATTTTATATCGAAATACATATTAAACATCCATGATTGGAGTACAAATGCACGTATTCATCGCTCAAACGTCTGCCCCCACCGGGATTCGAACCCGGGACCTCTTCTCGAGTCGGCGACACCATGAAACCCGGTGTACAAACCACTCGTCCACGGAGCTCGTCAATGTTTGGTGATTTAACTGGAACTAGGGACTTTGTATTTGATCTGAGGGGGGCCCCTATCGTTCGCGGGGCCCTGGGCACTTGCCCAAAGTGCCCACTGGGAAAGGGGTCTGTGTGGGATGCGTGCGCAGCTCTTCCTGACGAGAATGAAATTTGGAGGGTAACTCGGTAAAGGCTGAAACACTGCGAGCGTTACACGCGACAATATATATACATATATATGAGAGATGCGTGCTCTGCTCCATTCCCCTATGCCTTATGCACCGCCTAATGTAAAGTTACTTAAGAAAACAAGTTTCATTTCAGGTGTGTGCTCCGTGCACTATTTTTTTTTATAATTTTGTAGATTCCAGCATGATTCTCTATTTCTAAAATTTAAATTGTCAGCAGTATATATCCTTGTCGTTCTCTATACAGGATGAAAAGGAGAGACGAATGATAAATTCTTAATAACATTAAATACTTAACATAAGTAGGAGTAGGATATGGTAGGCTTTCAGCTCTCATTTAGGGAAGTTACCTCCACCTTGTAGAAGATTACAATGAAATAACACTACCTTTTAGTGGTGTTGTGTCTGTCTGTGAGTGAGGTTCCAGGGCGAAACGCCCAGGGCCCAGGCTAGGCCGGGAGGCTATTTGCGAGGACGCGGAAGAACCCCTAAACGGGGATCCCGCGGCTTCGCGCTAAACAGCTTAGAGGGTATTCGCAGGGTTTTTACCGGATATTATGCCGTAAAGCGCCCGTAAGAGTTACGGGGTCCTCTGTGGGTAGCCACTGCTGGGGCTTGTTAGGCTTGCGGGAGCCAGGGGTGAGGTCCGTTCGGCGGTGTGCCTCTTAAAGGCGCCGTCGTCTGTAAACAGTAAT